ATCATAGTATTGTAAGAGTTTTAACGTTTTTTAGGTAATTTTTATGTGCGTATTATTATACTCTAAATTATTAGGTTCAGGTGCTTAAATATTCGATTCGTTTGTTTTGCGTATGACGTATATATTTCTTGATGTATGAGTTAAGAGGTCGTTGGGATGAGTTATTGTGACGAGTTATTATAAGAGTCGAAACAACTCACAAAATGATTCTGTGATATTTGTGAGTTATTTCAGAATAATTGTCCCCCATGTGGTATTCTCAAGTTATTTCATAATAGCTCGGTACAAATAATCCATCACAACCTTTTGCACACGAATGGATTATTTGGTACCAAATAACTCATAACAATAACTCATCCAAAATGACCCCTAATTTCATGAACGTAACGAATCTGAGCCAACATATTTCATTGTTTCTCTTTAACAAATCAATTCCCTCTCGATACCGAAGATTATAGAACAATTCCTTTCAACATAGAATGAGCATACATATTTTGTGCAGCAGTACTATGAACACCAGAAACTCAACCAACAGAACAAATCACACGACTCTGTGTTCTTTGTTTTTGGAAGAGAGAGGACAATGCATAAGAATTTAGAAAGAGTTTCGGTAAGTCCATAATTCAAAGGTGGGTATTTTATGAAGAATTGGTTCGGACAGTTCAGCAGTTCGGCTGAACCGAGCCGGTTGCAACCCAAACACCGTTTGGCTAGCTATTACCTTTCGGTTCTGATTGTTAATCGACCTCACCTCTTCGTTTTCGATTCACACCACGAAATTTTAACATACGCCTTTAATCGGGTACGTGCTTCGACGCAACCACGAAGTACCTCCAATTTGACACCAACCACGAAGCACCTCCAAGGATTTGAATTTGCTGAACAACTATAGTAATGAATTAACTGTGTGTTAAGGGTTGAGTGACCAAAAAGCTGGCTACGGAAGCTAGCTAGCTAAGGGTACGTTGAATATATGCTTCGAAATTGAAAGGGCATCGATCCATCCGGCCCCCAAGGCGATGAATTTGTGATGTGATTACAAACAAAATGTATGTCTTCTTCCTTCCTTAGCGCACTTTCAGACCCCCTAACCCAGTTCCAAGGAATCAGTAGTGTTTCGTCCTTTCAGACGTCCTCGAAAAAGCCCTTAGCGTATCACAACAGGACACACCTCTTTATTTGCTTTCACAGTTTGCATGGGATTGGAATATTTAATTTCCATAGAACAAGGGAAAAGGGAGAAAGAAATGAAACCCACTGTGAGATTTTCTTCTGCATTTTCCGAAGAATCTTTGCCAAAAGGGGAAACACGAAAGGATTGGATTGGAGACCATTAATTTACCAAGCTTCAGGACCTTTTTTTCGTAATCTCGTCGTTAATTTTATTCAATTTTTGCAAAGGAAATTGTATTTCTTGGTCATGGGTTTCCCTGCAAACAATCGCGAAGTCGAGAATAAAAAATGAGGAGATAGAAAAAATAAATGATAACAATATCCTCCTATAATTGAGCATATGTTGTTCCATATCTTATAACCTGAAATAAAATATTGAGGAGGAGGATTACAGTTAGTGCGGGAAGTTTGGTACAAATATCTAGGATATTATCGAATATATCATGATTTGGTATTACCGAATACCGGCTTATTTTTTAGGAATTGGGATTGAGATTCATTTTGAAGTGTTATTCGGTATTCGGGTTATGGGATTGGGATCGGTATATACCGACATACTGAAAATTAATGAAATATAACACACAACATTTTGTCATTCCTCACTTTTTCAAAACTTAGAAGCCTCCATCCAACTCAAATTTGACTTTCCAGATTAAGTCACTATCGTCTCTCACCTAATCTTTTTTATTTATTTTCATAACACCAAAAAGCAAACACTAGTATTAGACTATTAGTCGTTTCTTAGCCTCCAATTCGTCAAATTAAATATTACCAATGACAAGAATTTAAGGTGCCACCTCTCGTTCATTCTCCTTATCCATATCCTAGCTCCAGGCAAATTCGTGGCTCTTTGCTTAGTTTCTTCGCCCTAAATTAAATAATCAAATCTAATTTATATATTTAATTATTAATTACAAAGGTAATTAATTTTGTATTCGATAATATCGATTGGAATATCGAAACATTTAGGGATTGGGATTGAGATTGATTTTAGGTTGTAATTCGGTATTTGGTATTGGGATACTGATACCGTACCGATTTTTACCCCCTAATTATAGTCCACCTTTTATCACATGCAGCTAGTGATGGCAATGGGTGAGGCATGATGGATACTTCATTCATTCCACTGCATGCTTAGCATAGGCCAGGTCAGATAATATTCGCACGGGCACGGTACGTGGCATGTTAACACAATTTTCATGTTATTTGAAGAAAAATAACACAAAAATTTTACTTTTTTTACGAAAAAACAATTCATAAAATGAAAATATAGATAACAGATTGAATAATGTGGTCTAATTAATTGAAAGATGAAGTGTTTTACTTATTCAAAGTTTTATTAAGGTGATAATCCGAATTAAAAAAAATCAGAAATGAAATTTTCAAATATATACTAATTCAAACCAAAACAAAATACAATGAGAATGGGACAAAAATAAATAATACACTTATCATGTATCGTGCTACTACAGATCGAATGATACATGTCCCAAACAGATCAGATTACATGTGTTAAATAAAAAATTACCATCACTACTACATGTAGTTTAGCCACCAACTCATATATGTTAATATTTCTGAATATTGACGACGGATAATTAAGGCGCAAACAAAAGAAAAACCAACGCAAATTATTAGGAAAAAAGGAAATTTTCATTAGATCACAAAGGATCCAAGCAAACATGGAGAAGCTCGGAACACAACAACACATGTACGATGAAGAGTGAATTACCCCCGTTGAATTACCTGTTGACTGGATTAATTTAGAAAAAGAAACGACCGGATCTAAGAGGAGCTCGCGGTGAATCCAAGCCCCGCGGTAAAATCGGCAAGGTTAAATTCGTTTACAATTTAGAATGTGAAGGACATACTAGTCATTTTATTCTGGCGGGGAAAAGTCCAACTTAACGGCAGTGATGACGGAGATGGAGACCCCCCGGTCAACCCTTCAACGTTAGGGAGCGCCACGTAACCGCACTGCGATGGAGTGGGCCCCACGATAATAGCCACTTGGGCAAAGTGGTGGGGAGACATGGTCCAACGCGAATGTCGGGGGTGGAGGGCAGGCCACGCTGGCAAGGGAGAGACCCGTACGAAACGTTAACTAACTTTAGAAAATTCCCGCCTTCGCATGCAATTGGCATGCCTCTTTTCCTTTTCTTTTTACCCTCCTACTTCTTCGTATCCTCGTTTCACGGCGGCATAGAATTTAACCATTTCACCTCATTTTTTTTACCTTTACAAAAGCTACCAAATTGTCTCGTTTTCCTATTTCACCGACATTCACCGAGATTTCAACGATAAAAAAACACATTTCAAACACCTTCTAGTTGTTATTCATTCCCCCACTCTCTCTAATCTCTCTTCAAGCTTTGGTTTTTGGTCCTGATTTGTTCGATCATCTTTTCGTATCATTTTCTCATTTGCACCAGTTTGTAGTGGTTTTTCGTTATCTTGTTGGGATTGAGATCGTTGAAGAAGAAGCGGGCGTCAAACGAACGAGTCATCCCCGGATGTTAGCTAGTAGACACGGAATTTGTTGTTTTTTGCTTTGTTCGTCCCTATTTTAAGATATAAAAAAAGTGTACAAGAAAATAGAAGAGACCGAAAAAAATTAATCACTTTAAGAAAATCAAATTTTGGAAGAAACCATCATCTTCCTTTTAAAGAAAAACAAGACGATGTTGCAAGACGTGATTCACCAGACGTCGGAGCAACTCCCACTCGTAAGTTTTCTTCCTCTATTATACTCCCTTGTGGTTGGCTTTACATTCCATTTAGGGTGTGTTTCGAGTTCTTTCTTCTTCTTCTTCTCGATTTCTTTCTCCTCGACATGTATGTTGTTTTCCATGGCGATGCATGCATGTCTCCACCAACCACATTAACATCATCATCATCATCATTCGATATATTTAATCTTCTCAAATTTTGCTAATTCAACATATAAAACAGTTTAATGGAAATCGCACTTTTGAGATCCCCAATATAGGTACAGAAATTTACGGGATAATTTCTTCTTAATTCGTTATATTTATAAGTTAATTCTTCATGACTCGATTACTTTAAACATGGGCATAATTCTCCAATGATGTAGCCGTAACACATCAATTCTACTCTCCTTTTCTCACTTGGCTTGAACATTGGAAGAAGAAGAAAAAAAACTAGCTACCTTTTCCTACCTCCTTTATACCCTCTTATCAACAGTGGAATAATAGTTGTTGAATTCAAGAAAACCATGTCTTCCTCTTTTCCTTTCTGCAGCAAGAGCAGAAGTGATTCCTTTTTGTTGAGATTAAGTGGCAAATGACCCAAATGACAATGGCCACTCAAACCCACAAATTTTTTCACTCTCACATGGATAGAAGGGTTTGGATGCCCTTTTCAGTTCTAGTAGTAGTTGTATGTTCCCAACTCTCTCTTTGTTTTCCATTTCTGGTCTGCAACATCAACAGCACAAACTTGCACTTCCTTCTCCCATAACCTTTCCCCTTCCTTTGTTACTGTCCTATTCACCCAGCCCCTTTGATCTACCAATCTTAGTCACAAAAAGTGACTTCTCCTACACTGTCACATGGGAGCATATATACACACTTCTTTATTTCCCACTTTAGTGAACACCCACTATTGCTGTTCTTGTCCTTGTCTACACAACTTCTTGACCAAATTTGGATCAGTTTGCATTTGGGAATCTCTGCAAAACCCATTACAAGCATTCCATTCATTTCATTCTCCCTCTCCCTATTCATGTGTATATATATGTCTTTGTTAAAACCCTAGGTAACTAGCTAATTCCAACCAAAGAACCAAACTTGTGGTTGCTATGGTACATGAATTTTTGCTACGAGAATCTGGTTCCCTCGCGGGTTTTCGATCTTCTGATGGGGGAGTTGCTTTTGCAGGACGATGTGTCGAGCCCGATCAGCGCTCAGCTCCTCGAGTTTTGTGACTCGGACTTCTTCCAGGAGACGATGCAGAACTCGGATGTTACATCTAGCTCCAATTGCTGCTACGACGAGAATTCTCCCTACACCACAAACCTGTCACTGCCTCCTGATTTGGAGAAGTACAACCACAACAACACCACTGGCCAGGACACCAACAATTGCAACACAACCAATAGCACTAACAACAACAACAACAACAACGGTCCAACGACTAGTAACACAACCACAAGCACCACCAGCGCCGCCACAGCTGCAAACACCACTGCCACCACCACCAACAGCAGCAACCTCTCCTCGATACTGTTCGACTCGCAAGACGAGCTGGACAACGACATCTCTGCCTCCATCGACTTCACCTCTTCCCCTGTCGCCTTCTCTGTTCCTCCCTTCTCCCACAACAACTTCGACTTCACGTCCATTCACCCACATCACCTCACATTGTCGGATTGCCTAACCGATCACCATGCTCTCTCCCACTACTCATCATCGTCTCCCGTAGCAGCAGCAACAACGGATCATCATCATCATCAACATAATCATAACAACCAAAATATCCCTCAATTCATGATCCCTTCGCTATTCGAAGAAGATTGCTTGTCCTCTGTCCCTTCCTACGTCCACCTCAACCCTGCCTCCCCTTCTTGCTCCTTCTTGGGGACCAACTTCACCACCTTCATGCCTTCCGGGGCCATGTCGGCTGTCGACAACTCGGGGATTTTCACCGCCGGTGGGATTTACATGGGCGGCGAGCAGTTGTTGCAGAGTCAGGAGCTAGATTACCAAGGGGACAATGGTGGAATCTACTGCCCGTCTGACTCTCTTCAGCGCGTTTTTAACCCCTCCGACCTTCAGGTAAATGGAAATATGAGCAATCAAACCACTTGTTCATCAATTTAATTACTGTTAATCTATGTGTCTCTAACCCAATTCCATCCCTTTTTCTGCAGGCGTTCAGCAATGAGACAAAACAATTGGTGGGTGGAGCACCAAGCTCGACGCCATTGACGACAGAGTTGGCGAGTTTGGAGGATTCGAGCTTCAAAGTAGGGAAGCTATCCGTTGAGCAGAGAAAGGAGAAGATACATAGGTACATGAAGAAAAGGAACGAGAGGAACTTCAGCAAGAAAATCAAGGTCGGTCTGTCTGTCTGTCACAAAATTCCCCTGCATCTCCTCTGTTTTTTTACCCACTTCTCCTCAGAAAAATTAAAGCTAGCAACTTTATCACAATGGCGTACTAAATTAAACATGGGTTGTTGCTATTTTATTGCAGTATGCTTGCCGGAAGACGCTAGCAGACAGTAGGCCACGAGTCAGGGGAAGGTTCGCAAAGAATGACGATTTTGGAGATACCAACAGAGCTGCCTGCAGCAACCACGAAGAAGAAGAGGATGATGAAGTAAGCAATTAACTGCTTCTTCCTTTAATCCTTCCACCTCCGTTTCTTCCATGGTGAATTCAGATTTGAGTTGAAATTTGAGTCATCTAACAGTAATCCTTTTGTTGAAAACGTTTTTAGCAGGTAGCAGTGAAAGAAGAGGTGGAGATGGTGGACCAAGCTGCTGATATATTTTCGCACATCAGTGGAGTTAACTCCTTCAATCGCAACTACATCCAATCATCATGGATATGACAGAAATAGAGGGAAGAAGGAAAGATTTATTACATGACAACAAAGTATAGGATGATCCCAAATTACCCTGTTTAAAGTTAATTAACCCCCAAGAACCCTAATACAAAATTTTTGAGGAGGACCCTTTTCATCATCAGCCAGGGGAAGCCAAGAAAGGCAGGAGTTTCAGTAGCTGGAGGGAGATGATGTGATTGGGTTAATGGAGATGTGATCAAGCTCCCTCCTCTGGCTTTGAACTGAAATTATAGGGTTGATTAATTATACTTTAACTTAAATTACTATACAAAGAGATTAAGTCAGTCAGTGAGGAAGGGTATAGAAAAGTTGGAATAAAGACTGTAATTTTTGTAGATATGTGTCTTTATTTGCTGTAATTTTTTTTTTTTGGTGGGGATTCACTTTCACCCCATCTTCTTCAGCTTCGTGATTTCAAGTCCTTTTTGGTTTTTGGTTAATGGCCAGGAGCTGATATTGTGTTCTCAGGATTTACTTTGCTGAATAAGATAATGTGTAATTACTCTTTTTTTGTTGGTTAAAGTATATACAAAGAAATAAAAAACAATAGATTATTACTTGTTCTCTCTTTAATTTGCACAATCTATTTGCTAAAAGCAATTTTACATGAATTTCTCTTCAATTTTTTTTATATAGATAGATATATAGTTTTTTCTACCAAAGTACACAATACTTTATTTCCCGATTTAAGGTTTTTCACCTTTTGAGATCTATTATGTTAGAATTTTGTGATTTGTCAATCTAGCTCCAAATTTAACTTTTTGGAGTGGAAATCTAATCCTTTAAATTGCAAGTAACAAGGAAATTGAAATCAACGGTCTGTTACCCACGAACTTTAAGCTAATGAGAGTATTCACACTCGATTGGGCCGTAATGGGCCTTGACTCGATTAGCTTAATCAATTAGGCCGTAATGGGCCTTGACTCGATTGGCATGGGTTGCATGTCTAATTCTGCAGCTGCCTTCCGTGTCCAAGCCATCATCAGCCCACGGCCCACCAAAAACCACAACGTAAACAAATCAGAACCGCAGATAAAGAAGTAATATTTGTTGGAAATGTGGATAGATGCAATCATGCAACTTATTTGGATTAGAAAATTAGAGTTCAAATAATGTATAAAAAAACATAATTAGTAAATTTAATCCTAACACTAATGAAAAGAGGGTCTCCAAGAGAACATAAAGTAATTGTGAATTTCGAGCCTTTTGAGTAAATTTAGAAAGGATAATTTTGTCCTCTTAATTATAAAAATCCCGATTTATTAGAAAGCAAAGGTTTTTTTATTGTACTAATGGAAAAGAGATTCCGTAGGGATCTTTTTAAAACTAATTATTTTTTGTTAGGTAAGATGGTTGTGTATAAAAGTTTAGTTTGTTCATTTTTTAAATTTTATTATTAGGTTAAGTGCCTGATACAAGTTTTTATATGTGTGAATTTGCTAATGAACTAATTTTTAATAACTTAAATTAATTTTAAAAAATTCACTTAAACAAACCCAACACTTTTCAACTACAACTTTACTTTTCAACTATAAATTTGAATTTGAAATTTTCCGTAAAATAAAAAATTGAATGTGTTACTGAGAATTGATAAGGGTGAGGAAATTTATTAATATAATTATAAGTGATTTTCTAATTAATTATTATTTTATTTCTCAATTTTTCTTTTAGGTATTGGTTCTGTCTTAGACTGATGAAATGTATGTCATAATCACCATCTAAAGACTAGAAGTTCAAAGTTTAAAATCAGTAGCTAGATAATTTTTTCATATATTTGTTTTTTGAACAACTATAACAAAATTAAGATATCATACCAGCTTAAATATAGGTTTGTGATGTATAGTTTTCTTTTGTCGCATCGACAAACATACAACTTTATTTTCGATCAAATATTAGTGGGAAAACTATATTAGTGTGATGATAATTCTTATCAAAATTTCATTTGACACTCACATGTTATTTTGTTCTTCTATGCATGTTTCAGCATTATTTTGATTTTTAAGTTAATTCATACGGTTATTGAGTACTATATTTATTGGTTCTATGTCTCAAAAATATATTCGCCTAGGAGAATCATCTAATCGACAATAAGTGCTCTAGTACGATCTTCTTACAACCAAGTAAAAATTATTGAATTTTGGTGCATGACCTCTTTTAGTTACAGCTGACACAAATCTCAAGAGCTAACTGAACTATATCTCATTCGTTTCAACTCTGAATTAAAAAATTTGACTTAAAAAATATATTAATTGAAATTTGCCGAAGAAAAGTTGAAGAAGACTACGATGGGTCATTTTATAATATTATACAACAATATCAAAGACAATAACATTTAGGTAATAATCTACCTCTACTCTTCTGTTATTTTCAACTTCAATGTCATTCATTTGAGAGAAAGCAAAATACCAACTAAAGCGTAAAGTTTTCGACCAAAAAGTGCATCTCAATTGTTATTATTTTATAGATTTAGGACTAGCTGCGAGTTGTAGACAACATGGTTTAATCTAACTTTATTTGTTTGTATAGCGAGTGAGCTAGATTTTTGGAATGTATACCGAGATATTACTCAAAGATACTGACAAAATAACATAACGTTCACCTCCTCATCGCATCCAAACTAAGAGCATGAAGTTAAATTTTCGGATCAAGCTCATCGATTGCATCGCAAACCCCATAAGTGGGACATAGTTTTTGAAGATAATGAAGGACGAAGAAGAGTAATCTCAAACAAGTTCATGACATGTACTTAGTAGTGTATGCTAATAGCGGAGGTAGTGAGTTCAATGATGAATATAATGATGTCATTGAGATGAAGGAATAGATTATTGATGGTGGATATAGAAATTTCAAAGATGGGAGGACAGACTGAATGGTTGATAATATTTATGATTTACATTAGGTGAAATTCTACTATCGTGAAAATATGTTTCACATTTTCAAACATTTTACCATTAAAATTTGGTTTTCAATATACGAATGGGAAGAAAGAAAAGAGACTATTGATGGTGAATATAAAGTTCCATTAACGATGATGAAGTTGTGTGGAGGACATGTTTTTTAAGGGCAGAGCAATAAAAAAGAAATCCAAAAAAGAATTTGCGGTAATGTCTAACATCAAAGAGTAAACTGAAGTGCATTTTGAATATTAAGTTTTTTAAAATCGGCTCCTTGCATGAGTGGTGAATTCAGAATTGTGATGTTTCCTTTTGATAAGAATTTTTGTCCATTAATGATCAAGATGTTGTAAAATTTATGATGCATATATTTTTTTTTATACTTTTAGTAATTGAATAATTTGGATTGTTTCATGATAACAAATAAATGATTTGAATAATTACTATTATTGTGTATAGTATTGATTGATTCGTCCAATCGGCGAGTCCAAATCTAGTCAAGGTTATAAGAGAATCCCAACGACCAATTATTTGAAGAAATTTGAAATCAATAGTAATATATTAATATCTGCCGTTGATCCGAATATTCAGTAGTCTAAAGATAGGATTTGTATACGTTGTGGTCATGTGGTGGTGGGTAGGGTATGGACTATGGAGTTCAAATTTTATGAGAGAAACTAGTAAACTGCACATATTGCAAAAAGAGACAAGAACGCAAGGTTGTCAAACCGGTTTATGTCAGTGTGCCGGTTTAGCAAGTGGAATGGTTCAACCGGTGGTACATACCGGTTTGTGCCGGTTCATGCCGGTTAATATTATAAATAATTTATAAATTCTCATATTTAAACACGACATTTAACGTCAATACCTAAATATTTGTACTTGAATCCAACAAATAACATCAACATTTAATTTTTTTAACACATAAAATAAATAATAAATTACTTTTTATCAATTAAATTCACTAAGATAAGATCATTTTATTTGGAGATTCGTATATCGATCATGCTGGTCATACCGGCGGTGTCATGCCGGTTTTATGACCGATATAGGTTGAACCAGATTCAACCAGTGGCACGCCGGCGGGCGTGACAACCATTACGTCAACTCCGTGTGGTTTAATATTTAGTTTTTGGATTCCTTAAAAACAATGTATTTTGTGGGGAGAAAGAACGAACGTGTGTACCGCCCAAAACAATAAATGAAGGAGAAATGTAAATAGTGGGAATAATGTGAGAATCATAATACATCTGTAAATTTAATATTTGTATATTACGAGAATCGAACCGATCAACCAACATCCTTCCGACCATACGGTAGCAGTCAGTCAAAGGCAGTACATTGTACATCCATCCTATTTTATTTATTTATTTATTGCAAATTATATTATTTATGATTTATGTATATAATAAGGTCAGGACTGCGGTACAAAACTAAAAAAAAGCTACAAATGTATCATTCGTTGTAATGCATAATTATAAGAACCGAATTGGATTAACTATTAGACAAGTAAAATCATTAAATCAATTACAATAGCGGCTCGGTTCATTTGATTGTGCGGTTTGAGTGGATTCGGTGATTTTTTAATGGTTTGACACGAAACCAGATGAACTGCCTCGGTTTGACTGATCCACTGGTTCACAATTTTAATCACAAATAAATTAATAAAAAATACTTTAATGCAAACTAATATCATCTAACCTCAATCACTAATTTTATTTATGCTTCATTTTCTTCATTTTCAAACCTCTTTGCGAGATTTATGTGGTCGTCGACTATGGATTGTCCCACTGATTACTAATTTGAATTTAATAAAAAGAAATTGATTGTTTTTTAAAGTAGTCTAAATACTTTGTTAGAAAAAATTTTAGTGATTGTTTATGTAGATTTGAATTATTATGGTTAGTGATAATTTCATACCTAAATTAATATATTATATGTCTTTTACGTTATAGCGCGTGAATGATTCGGCGAACAATTAACTTTCTGATTTAGCATCCGATACACGATGATGAAAACATTGCTTGTATGATACTTCGACCTATCCCGTATAATAAGTCCAAGGGCTTCGTCCTACTACACAAATACCTCCAAATTTGGGGTGTTTGTTTCTGTGTCGTTGTCTAGGTTTTGCTTCCTTAATTTCCTCCCCTATCATTGTCCCGTGTCCTAGAAATATCACCTCCTTAGTTTCCAATCTTTGCTGGATTGGTGATAACTTGTATGAATGGGAAAAAAGCAAAATTGCTACAGATAAAGATAAATAATATGTGGATAACACAATGATTCGGTTAGCCAAATAATTGTCAAACAAATGGTACTACTATACACATGTGATACATTTGAATCTGCTCGCTCTCTAGCTTACAAGTTACAACTACTACTCCGAGGGTTTTCGTTTTACATTTTGTAATTGTGTTTTTGGCCCTATTAATTCTAATCAGCCATAATTTTGTGTTGGCTTAGGTGGTAGGCAATGACCAAACGACCATCATACCTTGGGCTTCCTTGGGGAGTCGTTTTAAGATGGAGACGTTTCGATATTTCGAGGAACGGGTGTAAAGCAGATTTAAGGGATGGAAGTAACGGTATCTTTCATGGGCGGCCGAGGAGGTTCTTAT